TCAGAAAAATGACTAGGAATGAGTAATATAGTTCCTTAAAACAATGATCTTGAAAGTAACTTGGTTGTACTAAGAAACTGACCAAAGACTTGTGTGTGGGCAGTGAAGGTCATTTGCTCTGTATAAAAGTATAGGGACTACACATTGCATAGGCACTGTACGGGTGTATGTGTATACAAGGAAAACAATGAGTAATGCATTCAAAAGAATTAATCACTAAAAAGTTCAAAGGAACATTGATAATTAAAGTGTGATAATTAACTGAAAATTAAGACAATTGAGAATTGAGAATTGATAATCTGAAAACGCTACAACTTCATTTAAATATCTGCTCGGTCACCATGGCGTCTGCATATTACATCCCTACTGATGAGATTATGCATGCAGTATATTCCACAAGATACAGAACCAGAATAAAATGGCCGGTTTCGAAGAGCGCTCCAATTTTTGTAAACTTGGTACCAGCCCAGCCCCCCCCCCCCATTTGATTTTACGGAGGCCAAGTGTCCGGTGAAAAAAACCATGTCGACATCAAGTTCAGCACGGATGTGCCCCCCCCCCCCCCCAAAGCTGGATACGCTGCTACACCAATGGAAGATGCCTTTTATTGAGCAAGTGCCCCGGTGATGCGACTGTAACCGGTCAGTCCAAAAATTCAACCCCCAAAAGTGGGTGCAGTACATTTTGTTTTCGTCCTTCACAAATTTATTCAAACAGGCAATTGTTTTCAACTCAAGTTGGTCAGTATGAAACTGTGCCACCCCTCTAAGTAATTCTCGTGGCCAAAATGTAATCGCCCATCGGGATTACGTCATTAGCATTCTATCCGATTCTCATTTCTGACCCGGGCTTGTGCTGAATGCACATTATGCAAATAACGTGTTTAGAAGATTTCCACTCAGACTCCAGCCCTATTGTTACATTCATGCCTCGCTGATCGCCATGGTACAGCGACCTAGCGTGCACGGGCTTTATTTTAAGCTGTTGTTTCGGTGCTGGGCTAGCCCTTCATTACTGTCGTTGTGCTCCTCACGCTCACTGCATGCAACTCATTACACTGTTCAAAATTATCATTTTGGCTCTGTATAAAATTGTTTATTCCAATTGAACGTGCACATTGTGTCCAATTGATATTGTACTATCAAAGACATCGTTACCATTTACTCCAAGATCAACACCAAGAGTGGCAATGTCTTCAAGAGTAGAAAGAGGTACGTTACATGTCTCTGATTAATGCACATGTGTATAAGGTTCTCCTACAAAATCTAGGGCCATTTTAAGTAAGCTTAAGGCCTTTATTTGTGTATAAAGTATAACTTGGGGATAAGCAATAATAAGTGATTAGGGATTCGTTTCACGCGTGCAGTGACATTGCGTTCGCACGTAGAATAAAAACTAATTTGCATAAAATTTCGTCAGACACGTGCAGTGACATAGTGTTCGCACGTACAATAAAAAATGCATAAGAATTCATCTCACACGTGCAGTGACATTGTGTTCGCACGTAAAATATAAAATTTGAATAATATTTCGTCCTACACGTGCAGTGACATTGCGTTCGCACGTAAAATATAAATTTTGAATTATATTCCGTCCTACACGTGCAGTGACATTGTGTTCGCACGCATAATATAAACTTTGCATAGGAATCCATTTCACACGTGCAGTGACATTGCGTTCGCACGTTTAATTTGCATAGAAATTCGAAAGACGCGTGCAGTGACATTGCGTTCGCACGTTTGTAACTAAAATGGGGCGTGGATATAGGCTCCGTTAATCCGAAGCAGTTTAGATATAAAGTTTGAGACTGCAAAAAAGAAGCCACTGGCCGGCCAGGAATTGTTTTCTGGCTGAGCGGATAAATTGCTTCATTTCAAGGCAGTAAAATGCTTTAGTTTTATTTTAGAAAGCTCTGGTAAAAGTAGAGAGCTTCGTCACCTGAAACAGAGAACTCCTTAAATTTCATTGGATGTTAAAAAAAGTTTACATGGAAGATAAATTACAGCAGAATTAAGGTTGAACGAAAATGATTATTTTATTCAAAAATAATGCAATGCCAATAGGAATTTGTCACGTGCAGTGACATTGTGTTCTCACGTGTGTTAATTTGCATATAGGAATTCATAAAATACGTGCAGTGACATTGCGTTCGCACGTTGAGTAAAACATTTGCACAGAAATTCGTCTGAAATGTGCAGTGACATTGTGTTTGCACGTGGGGAGAAAATACAATTTCGAAAGAATTCGTCAGACACGTGCAGTGACATTGTGTTCGCACGTGAGTTAATTTGCATAGGAATTTGATTCGTGCAGTGACATTGCGTTCGCACGTGGAACAGTTGAAGGGTAGCGTTCCAGTGGAAGTTTTTTTCAAATTGTTGTCCCTGAATAATTAAACTCGCTAATTTACACCAGTATTTTCAATGATAAACCTGTGACAGTGTCTCCTTCATTGCCACATTGACTTGCAGGTCATATGTAACTCCCTTTCTGGAGAAGGTTAAAAGACGTTCTCCACCTCAGTCTCAGAAACTAAAAAATAAATTGACACAGTATAAAACCTAGTCAATATTCTGGGCAAAACGTTGGTGCAAGTGATGCAAACAATTAATTAGGTTTTTTTGTAGGTCAAGTTGGGAGGAGTGCAGACGCTGCAGGCGTGCATTATTATGCAGCATTCGCAACGCAAAGCAAAGCAGCTGCTGCATTTGTAGGAGTGTTAGGATAATGTTATAGGCATTTAAATTCGGCGAAATATTCTCATACGCGTTTAGAAACCTCCGCACCGCGTTCTATCGCTTTTCCGTTCGATAATAAGGCATATTCATACGTAATGTTCGGCAAACTCGTGTTTTGGGTTTTTTTTGGCTAGACCGGAGACGGTTTGGTACGAAGACTGTGAAGGGACATGGGAGTTATTTAGTTTTTTTTTCATAATACTATTACGTATGTATTGTCACGTACGTACGTAACTCACGCACGTACTTGAATATTATCACGTACGTAGGTAATACTATCACGTAGGGCCCACGTGATAATTATTACGTACGTAGGGCCCACGTGATAATTATCAAGTACGTATACACGACGTATACTCGTTTAAGGATACACGTATTATCACTTACATATGCAATGCATGTACGTACGTAATATGTACTTATTTATCGGGTATGTACACAATAATAATAATACTAATATTGCGTTAGTACGTAATATTATATTATCACGTACGTATGTGATAAATTAAATGTATCAGGTACGTACGTTGTGATTGTCATATGTATAGTAGTAGGCCCTATATAAGAACTATATGTTCATCTCTTCTTGGTCTTCGTACCCGCGTATCCGCATATCCGCGTACCTGCGTAATCGCGCGATTTCGTGTACCATACTTCGAAGTGATAAAATCTAGGGAACTGTTTAGCAAAGTGCAATGAACAGTGTTAGGGGAAATGAAGCAAACAAAAATTAAGGAGCAAGCATAGCCCGCTGCGAGCATGCGCACATTGAGCCTGCAGGCAGTGCGATGGGGAGTTTTAGAAGTTTTCTAAAAAAAAAGAAATTAGAAAAAAGTATAAAAGTAACACTAACTTAATGCAAACGAAAAGCAGTCTAATGAATAACACTGTCCCCCTAAACTTGAAAGTACTGGTGTATTTATTTTATTTTCGCTATTAAGAAACCTCACTCGCAAATTTAAAGTCGATTTTGTAATTGATTGAGAGTCATTTTGTGATGTTTTATCGATCAACTGGAATGCTGCCCTCTATACGGACATTGGCTGGTACTTTGCCCAACTCAAAACAATAATTAAACAAAGTTAGTAAAACAACTACAGAAAGTGGCAGTGCCTGGTGCGTTGTCCACCAACGACGATATAATTTCTTTCTCATTGTATAAAATGTTTAAGAGCAAACAAGATTCATAAAAGCTAGGCCATCGGCAATTGACAGTGACCATGCCTGGTGCAGTGTCACTTGTAAGGGATACCCTCTGCGGTGCATATTAGTAGGGGATTTCCAAGAGGCCCCTTCCTTCAGAAGAACTTGAACATTAAAACTTAAACCATTTAACAAAAACACGGAAGGACGTTACTACTTAAATAGCCTAACAGAGAAAACTGTTGGTTAATAATTAACACTAATTCCTAAATGAGCTCTCTGTTAAGGTGACATACGCTCTTATAGTAGCACTAAAAGGTCAAAAAATCTGGGATTAACAGCGTCTGTAAAAGCGCCGCATTGTCTATACTTTGCTAGTCTGTGAGCAGTGAGGGCACAGTTGACAGTTGACCATAGTTTAATGATCGTAGTAATATCAAAAGTCATAACTTTGGTTAATTATACTTTGCATAAATTTATATAAAAGACATTTTTATTAAGTATTTAAAGATAAACTTATCTGTGAGTAAAAAAATGCTTACAGAGAGAATGACTTTTGGGGAAAAAACTCAAAAGTAGATTGTATTTTGTTTCATTGTAAATGTTGCATGTTTGATTTTTTGCCTTTGTGTGCATTGCTCTCTGTGTGGTGTGATTCTTTTTAATGGTATCCGTCTGTTGTCTCTGACAATAGACATAATTAAATGTTTTTAAATCAAATTAATCGTTGCGGCTACGAAATTGTCAAATCGTTAAGCAAAATCGAAGCAGATGAATAATACTTGAAATCAGTGTTATTTTTTTCTCAACTGCAATACGTCGGGCAAAAAATGTTTCGGTTTTGAAGCGGCAAGCCTCAAATTGACGAAAATACGAAATCAACTTTAAAATGTTAGGCAGTATTGGAATAAATAATACATGAAATCGGTGTTATTTTTTTACCTTTACTGCAATACCTACCCGGATATTTACTTGACTACGCGTATGACGAAAACTGAAAACAAAATTCAAATCTGTCCAAAATAAATTGTAGCGAAAATCACATCGTAAGCGAATTTTTTTTCCGAAAAAAAAAATCACTCCGCTTTCTACGTGTAGGCCTAGGAAAATGATGAAAATAACGCGAGGAAAACATCACAGCGTAAGTGAGAGTAAAAATACCCGAAATCAGTATTATTTTTCTTGTCACAAAGTAAACAAAAAGGGCTATGGAAATAACAAATCAAAATGACGAAAATAACGGCATAAAAATTAATCATCCGCAAAAACATTGCATTGCCTCAAAAAGTCGGAAAGCGAATTTTGGCAAACGGTGGGAAAATGACGGCAGCAAAAGAAAATGAAATTGGCGAAATTACGAGAAAAAAAATCACACCATAATGAACAAAATATCTGTTTAGAAAATGACTGAATTTCACTTATAAACAGCGGCATTTCAAAAACATCAAAATTGTTGACATTGTCGAGAAGTGCCTTCAAAAAGACATAATTGCCCCCCCCCCCCCACCACCACCAAAAAAAGTACATTGTGAAAGGGTACAACTTATTGGCAACCTGCCATTATCGGCGTCGGCACATGTTCGTGTGCATTATGACAAAAAAAAGATCATGTCTGTTTTTAAAAGTAAATAGTGGAAACATGGGTAGAATCGTTTAGTTTCTATTTGGTAACAAGTGGCCTTATTACAGGTAGGCTTAGACATAATGCTTTGGAATGTTTCACTTCAGTAACAAATGGGCTAGGCCCAGTGTTTTCGTAACCCTGTTCACTTAGGAAAGAGTTGCAGCTTTCATCAAAGAAACTGATGATCTAAAAGCTGAGACTGCATGGATGAGCTAGGCTGCTTTGTCTGGACGAAAATCAACCCTCCAATGCTCCAACGGCCTCATCACACAGAAACTCGAGGAACCGGAAGCAGGGAGTAGGACCGACAGATGAACGGATGACCTGCTTGCTGGGCTACCCATTACTGATTCTTGAGGTTAGTTTACATGTTGGCCTCCTCTTCGCAGGATCAATCAAGTCACAGAACTCATGAAAATGGGCGATCTGACTCTGTTATAATGTTCTTCCACAAACAACGAGTTCTGGTAGCGGGCTTTGCTTTGTGGGGTAAAAATCGATGTTTTCTTTCCCCTTTCTAGCCCTGGCACGAATACAACTCAATAATTCGAATGTTTCCTTTCGTATCCTTTCAGAAAAATGAGGACCACTGACTGGTGAGGAAATTGCTTTACTGAGATTGATGAGCCTGCCTCAAGACATCTTCAGGGCTCCAAAAGCCTCATCAAACAGAAACTCGAGGAACCGGAAGCAGGGAGGAGGACCGACGGATGACCTGCTTGCTGGGCTTCTCATTCCTGATTATTAGGTTAGTATACATTGAGGCCTCCTTTTAACAGGAACAATCAAGTCACAGAACTAATTTAAATGGGCGATCTGACTCTGTAATTATGTTCGTCCACAAATGAGTTCGGGTAGCAGGGCTTTGCTTTGTGGGGTTAATTCAATGTTTTCTTTCCCCTTTCGAGCCCTGGCACGAATACAGCTCAATAATTCAAATGTTTCCTTTCGTTATTTGAATCCTTTCAGCAAAGTGAGGACCACTGACTGATGAAGGAATTGCTGTACTGAGATGAGGATGAGCCTGCCTCAAGACATCGTCAGGGCTCCGACAGCCTCATCAAACAGAAACCCGAGGAACCGGAAGCAGGGAGGAGGACCGACAGATGAACGGATGACCTGCTTGCTGGGCTTCCCATTACTGACTATCTGGTTTGTGTACAAAACAGAAACAATCAAGAACTAATCAAAATGGGCGATCTGGCGCTCTTCTATGTTCGTCCACAAACAACGAGTTCTGGTAGCGGGGCTTTGCTTTGTGGGGTTATTCAATGTTGTCTTTCCCCTTACGAGCCCTGGCACGAATACAGCTCAATAATTCAAATGTTTCCTTTCGTTATTTGAATCCTTTCAGCAAAGTGAGGACCACTGACTGATGAGGGAATTGCTGTACTGAGATGAGGATGAGCCTGCCTCAAGACATCGTCAGGGCTCCGACAGCCTCATCAAACAGAAACCCGAGGAACCGGAAGCAGGGAGGAGGACCGACAGATGAACGGATGACCTGCTTGCTGGGCTTCCCATTACTAACTATCAGGTTTGTGTACATGTAGCCTACTTAAACAGAAACAATCAAGAACTAATCAAAATGGGTGATCTGGCGCTCTTCTATGTTCGTCCACAAACAACGAGTTCTGGTAGCGGGGCTTTGCTTTGTGGGGTTATTCAATGTTGTCTTTCCCCTTTCCAACCCTGGCACGATTACAGCTCAATAAATCACATGTTTTCTTTCGTCATTTGAATCCTTTCAGAAAAATGAGGACCACTGGCTGATGAGGAAATTGCTCTACTGGGATTGATGAGCCTGCCTCAAGACATCGTCAGGGCTCCAAGGGCCTCATCAAACAGAAACTCGAGGAACCGGAAGCAGGGAGGAGGACCGACGGATGACCTGCTTGCTGGGCTTCTCATTCCTGATTATTAGGTTAGTCTACATTGAGGCCTCCTCTTAACAGGAACAATCAAGTCACAGAACTAATTTAAATGGGCGATCTGACTCTGTTATTATGTTCGTCCACAAACGAGTTCTGGTAGCAGGGCTTTGCTTTGTGGGGTTAATTCAATGTATTCTTTCCCCTTTCGAGCCCTGGCATGAATACAGCTCAATAATTCAAATGTTTTCTTTCGTTATTTGAATCCTTTCAGCAAAGTGAGGACCACTGACTGATGAGGGAATTGCTGTACTGAGATGAGGATGAGCCTGCCTCAAGACATCGTCAGGGCTCCGACAGCCTCATCAAACAGAAACCCAAGGAACCGGAAGCAGGGAGGAGGACCGACAGATGAACGGATGACCTGCTTGCTGGGCTTCCAATTACTAATTCTTGAGGTTAGTTTTTAGTTACATGTACCTAAAGAATAAACAGAAACAAGTAATCAAAATGGGTGATCTGGCGCTCTTCTATGTTCTCCCACAAATAAAGAGTGCTGGTAGTGGGGCACTGCTTTGTAGGGTTAACTCGAACATTTCGTTTCCCCCCCCCCCCCTCTTGCTCTACCTTTCAGATATTTCTTAATAATAATTCGGATATTTTCTTTAATTAGTCATTTGAATCTTTTTACAGACATGAGGACCACTGACTGGTGAGGGAATTTCCCTATGATGGATGAGCCTGCCTCAAGCTGCCATGGGAGGACCGACGGTTGACTGACTCTGCCTGCTTGGTTGGCCATTACCGATTCTTGAGGTATGTTTACTTGAAAAGAGACCAGGGATATGTAGGCCTACACTTAAATTTGTTATTCCTTTAATACTATGTCACCTCTTACGATGCTTGATTTCCTCTTTAAATATTAATTCTAAATTTTGCTAGTTTACTCTTATTGTCATGTTATAGAAGATGAGGACCGCCAAGTTTGGATGAGACTGGAAAATTACGAAGCTGCTCTGTCTGGACAAGGATGCCCTCATCAGACACTTTCCAATTTGCGGAATATTGGATCAAAAATCAGACTGCATATTATTTTGCAATATCATAAAACATAAAGTGGCTGAGAAAATGATGAAATTTACGCCAAAAGTAACTGAAATCAGTGTTGTTTTTACCTTTACTGCGATACCTACCCGAAATATTTGACTAAACGCGTGTGACGAAACGTGGAAACAAAAATCAAATCGGTCCAAATTAAATTACAACGAAATTCACATAGTACGTGGAGTTTCTTATCGCAGCACGGCACTCTGTTTCTACAGGTAGCTACTGGAAAATTACGAAAATTACACCGAAAATCAACGCGGCATATAAGTGAAGTGACGAAACATAATTTACACGGCTAAAAAAGCTCGTTAGTAAGAGAAATAATACTTGATATCAGTGTTATTTTTCTCACCTACAAAGTAAAAAAATTTCGATTGCGGAAGAACGAAATCAAAGAGACGAAAATTACGGTAAAAAAGATTAACAGCGGCAGCGAAGGAAATAAATATTTGAAAATCGGTAATTTTCTAAACGTCTAGGCCCTATATGCCATGCAAAAATTTGCTAAGGAAAAATGACCGAAATAATAATAACAACAAAATTTCAAATTATAATCGGCAGCCACTTCCGGTAGGTACTACACTGCTTAAAAAAAGTCGGAAAGCGAATTTTGGTAAACGGTGGGGAAAATGACGGCAGAAAAAAAGGTAAAAAAATGACGGAAATTAATGAAAAACTCCATTATATCGATGTAAAGAAAATGACTGAATTTCAATTAAAGCAGCATGTTAAAGGCATTCCCCTAAGTTCTAGGCCTACACCACATCTTTTAAGTATTATTCGTCAGCGAAAATAACTGCAATTTGTGACATTGTCAAGAAGTTTGCCTTCAAAAAGGCCAGAAATAGCCAGGTTATGCATGTGAAAGGGTACAACTTAAGTGTAATCAACAAAGCGATAGGGAAAATGGCTGTATAAGACATGCGACATATTTACTATCGCATGCGACATTTCTCCGTGTTTTTTTTAAGGTTTAAACTTAATCTACATCATTTGTGTGAGTCCGATTTGGAAAGATCGGCAGGGATACATGTTTTCATCAAGTATATATTTCTCCTTTGAGTTACTCATTTGGTTGTCATTTGACCTTTGATAACGTATAAGGCCGACAGTGCTGTTTTATTGAGGGGAGAACACGAAAACCATAACGGAAAAAAGCGTTGCAGTAGTTAAAGAGATCGGTCTGATATAGACTTTCACGAGTATGGGCTACGTGTGGGCTACGAGTATACCGTACTTAACGTAAATTTCAAAAGAAAGCATTTCAAGATATGCGACAGGTTTAGAGTAACATAGAAAACTACTATTTTCTTGTTGATTTTAGCCTACGTGTAACCCTCCTTCCGTATAGTTCTATGTTCAATGTAAGTCCAATTTGGAAGGGATCGGCAAGGATTAAGATGGCATTTTGTCATCTTAATGTCACGTGAATTTCTTTTAATGGTTGTTTATAGTGTGCGAGTAATATGTAGTTTCCAAAGCAACCTGCCATTATCAGCGTCGGCACATTATGACAAAGTAATCGTGTCTGTTTTAAAAAGGAAATAATGGAAACATGGGTAGAATCGTTTGGTTTCCATTGGGTCCTACCCATGACCTGGTTATAGGTAGGCTTAGACATAATTATTGGCTACATTTGCAATGCTTCACTTCGGTAACAAATGGGCTAGGCCCAGTGTTTTCGTACCACTGTCCACTTAGGAAAGAGTTGCAGCTTTCATCAAAGAAACTGATGATCTAAAAGTTGAGACAGACTGGATGAGCTAGGCTGCTTTGTCTGGACGAAAATGAACCGACGATGGACTGACACCGCCCGCTGGCCTGGCCATTACTGATTCTTGAGGTGAGTTTACTTTGAAAACGTGTGATTGTAGTTTGTCCCTCCTACAAAATCCACAGTGCTTGATTTCCTAATAAATGTATTTTTTTTAAATTTGCTTGCTTATTTTGTCATGTTTAGGACATGAGGACCACCAAGCTTGGACGAGACTGGACAATGACGAAGCTGCTCTACTGGACAAGGATGCCCTCATTGGAAACTTGAGTTAAAAAAAACTAGCCTGTACAATATGAAATGATAAATCGACTGCATAATGCAACGTCATTAATGTTATACACTAAGGCAACAACAATAAAATAAAATGAAAAGTAATTTTGATTTCATTAAATTATTTATGCCTCTAAAATAATCTTAAACCGGATACTGCAACAGACAGTTAACAATGGACAATAATGGAAACTTGCTGAACAATTATTGTAAGGGTAATAATTTGTCACTGGCTTTTTAGCAGTGACCTGTCTGAGAGAAGGGATGTTCCTTTGATCTGTCCTTGGTCATCCAAAATTATTGCACCAATAAGTTAATATTTCATACTCCTTACCTTAATGCATTCAATTGGATCTTCTCGGTAAATTATAAACGAGGTTTTGCCTAAGGCTTTCTATTTGCTTTTTGTTCAGTTGACAATGGAGAATTTTGCTCTATAAATTTAATTTGATATTGAAAGTGCATTTTTAAGAAAACCAATTTAAGTCATAAGAGTTTTGAAAGATTTCAAAAAGGATTAATTTATTGTTTAAAAACTGAAGAAATGTAACAAACTTTATTTAAATTTAACGTCTTTAACAAGACGTCGGTTAACTAAAACGTGACTTTCTTTCCATTGTATATTTATTAGAAAACACCAGAACGTTTAATTTTTAGGAAAATTTAAAGAAACTGTTCAGGAACTTCTATCCATCAAAATGTATTGCAACAGGTGTAAGTGACACTCAAATTACATTTGTGTTTGTCCTTTTGTGATTTATTTCATTGCACTTTTTTTACTTGTTATATTTTGTACTTCGTATGCACAATTGTTTTTCTTGGTGGTTTTGCATGTCTTTTCATTTTCTTATTAATAATTAACTAACCTCACAAAAGGATGAACGCAAAATATATATCGAGTGTTGAACTTGCCTCGCATCAAATATTTTTTTCACATTATAGCTAAATTAGACACAAAATTTTCCTGAAATGTTTCAAAATAATCTAGGAAATTTTTGGAGGGGGGGGGGCATTCCCAAATTGTATCTTCCCATTTTAAAATCTTATTCACAAAATGGCGAAATACAAAAACCTGGCTTTACCGTGTACAGTCGTGTCGTCGTTGCTTACGTAAAAATCATCTATGATATTACAAAGTGATAATTCATTTCTCAAATTTATTGGCCTTCTGCCGAACTTTTTCCTCATTTGGAATATTTTGTATTTGTTTGTATGAATTGGTTTAAATATTTGTATGTCAATAAGACTTAGGAATTAAACAAAATAAATAAAACTTGAAAGATGTTGGAAGTTTGTCAGTATTTTGCCTATTTTTGTTTTTAAATTAGTTGTTGGCGGGGGAGGTCAAGCTACTACAAAAGTAACAAAACCAAGCTGAAATGACGTTTTATTATTTATGGGTGATTGGGGGCGGGGTGCGCACATAAGGGCACGTCAGGGAAATATAAAATAATTAGGTGTTTTTTGTGAGGGAAATCTTTACTCTTGAACGGAAATAAACAAAATCTCCTAGGCTCCTAGGTTCTACCTTTTAAGATTGTCCAATAAAAAGACCCGAATTTGCATACGCCGGCCAAATCATAATTTGCATGCCCCTATGGGCTTTTAAAAGAACTTTTGCAAATGGGAAAGACACTTTGGAAACATCCAATCAGTTTGAATATGCTTTATGAATTTCTGAATAATCGAGCACATTTTTAAACGTTATTTAATTACTATTATTTTTCGATGTGGTGGTGGGGGGGGGGGTGGCTGGGGGGGACTAGGCAGAAGATACATCAGAAGTGGCGCAATAAAACCGACAGCGGTTTCAAAACTTTCTACGCGAGTAGTTAATTTGCATAAACAGTTCCCCCACAATTTTTTGTAAACGAGACCGTCTAGTTTAAAAAACGGTGGAATCGTGCGAATATAGCCGAGGATCATCTTCCTAGCTTTTGGACTATTATCTAAAAGCAGATATGATAAAATTAGGGTCCAAAATAGGTTCCTATTTGCACGAGAAAATGTAGGGATGCCATTGGTAACTTTGGCAGTATGCAGGCTCAGCATTACCGGCAGGCTTCAACCCGGCTGATGGGCTTTTAAAAAGAACTTTTGCAAATGGGAAAGACACTTTGGAAACATCCAATCAGTTTCCAATCAAATTATGACTTTTGATTAACTGATTGACTGATTTTATTTTAACAGAACAAATAATGTAAGCCGCTAGAAATCTTTATTGCTGCAGACTAGTATTTGTGGTACACTAAAATAAATCTGAACAGTATTAGAATCCATAGGGCCTACATCACAAGTTGCTCATAATTTGCATACAATCGCGTTGTGTGCAATCAATGTACAAACAGTGCAAGTTTAAGACTTGATAAGGGAATATTATCCATCAGTATGCATAACTGGCATTGTTAGAGCCATTATATTGTCATGTACACGTATCTTTCAGCATGTTCAATAGGCCTGTGGTCGGCACCATCAAACTTGTCTGAAAGACAACTTAAAATTGAATTGTAATCTTTTAATTATGTTGATACTTAAAGGATGGTAAATTGATTTAATTGTATAGCCTAGCCATTTGTTTTGTTTTGCAAATAACTTGCCACAAAACTGTCTGTTTGGTGCAATTAATTAGCTCTGGACAAACAGGTGCCAGCAAGCTCTGGACTGAACAACGGATCCTCTACACAAGGATAAACGACTCATCTGAGCTTGTGTGTAGGCTACACAATGTACGGAACGGTTTGTCACATTTGTTTTAATGACAATACTTTAAATTGTTGGTTCACATGAGAACAAAAAACCACATGAAGCGTGTGTTCATGAAATGTCACTACAACAACCCCCTCACTTGTCAGGAAAAAAACGTGGAACATTTAAAATATTTGTACAAGTGCACTTTTCAAACAAATTAAGCAAAAATGATGTCAAATAGTTATCGTACATCTAACTGGAATAGAAAGTTGCACAAGATATATTTCTTGAATATACATATATACATTTCGATATGTTCCCGTGTAAAATTCAAGTGGTGATGCCTTTAACAATAAAAACCTATCACAAAGAATAAAAAAGAAAATTAATTCTATTTTGAGTCGCAGTGCACGCATAGAATGCTCAGCATAAAATGCTCGGCTGATGCCAAGGTTTCCGAGTCAAATTGACCCGGCAAAAATTATCAATACAAAATTGACCACCAAAAGTGTCATAATAGACCTGAAAAAATAGCAGGTCAAATAGAATCCTTATACCCGATCAAATCTTACCTGGGACTTTTTTTTTAAGTGTAGAATAACCCAAACCTTTTCGTATACTTTGTTTATTAAATACATTGGGAATATATGCTATGACCCCGGCCACAATCTTACAATGATCGGACCCATATGTCTCACTCATACGGTTTCTTATGAAAACTAATTGGTAGCTTTCAATGCATCCCCATCTGGCTCCTATGAGAAAACGTACATGTGGCCTACAACTCTTAATAAACTCTCGGGTCAGATGGACTCGGAATTGGGGTCCAAATTTGCCTTATCTTTTTCCAGGTCATCATTGACAGAGAAATGTGTCATTTTTAACCCGGAAAGGGTTAGGCAAATTTGGACCTGGGTTTCTGGTTAGCTTGACCCAGAAGTTTTTACAGTGTAAACTACTCATCGTGCACACACCGTTATGCTTACGGTCTTTGAACTTCGGAAGTGGTCGTCGCAGCAAAAGGCCTTCAACATTCTCAGAGTCAAGCGTGGGAAGTGTCTCCAAAAACGTGCTGCAACAGCATAGCAGAATCCAAAACTGTATCCCGAAATTTACTGGCGTGTACATGTAGGACTATCTGTCAGTATTGAGACCGTGGTGTACATGTACATTCATAATGGACACGGGTGCATACCTATGTTACCCAATACAAACCGGGTATGTTCCCCAATACCTATGCTCCCCAACCCCAACCCTAACCCTATAAGGATTTGGAGGAACATAGGTGTTGGGGAACATAGATATTGGGGAACGTATGATAGGCCCCATAGACACCATGCAAAAGTACCCCTTCAACACCTGCAAATAAAGTGAGACCACCGGGAGAGGCATTCCAACGCACTGAACTCCGGGGGGACGAAAGAGTCGGGCGGAATGATCCAAGACAATGTTCCCGGGGAACATGAGTGATGAACTGGGTAGTCCATCAGGTCGTCATTACTGACACTATACAGTTATGTCACATGAACAGTTCTCAACTAATACAATTTCCAAAATCCTATACATGGAACAACAGGGTCCATTCGGAAAAAAAAATGACCAAGAGAGCACTCGGACTATATAACAGCTCTCTGGACTGGAATAGACAAGCGGTTGAAAACCATCAGTTCTCCAACGTTATGTTCTGTTTTCTTTTTACCGCAGAGGATGTAGGTATGCTTGGATTCCATAGCTACCACTTCTATATTGTGGTGAAAAGGGTGCAAGTCAGACCTGGATTTAAGCTAGTGTCATTATTTCTGGCCGAACTTTATTAAGTCATGATCATCACCAGTGCATTATTGTTTGAAGGGTGTCGATCACTGGTTCACCAGAAGTGATGGATGAAGAGTCTGCTATGTAAGCCTGCATAGCGAATTATTCGGATTTCGTCCATCCAGATGATCTCACCATGACTTTGGTCAGGATCAACATCAAAGAGTCGTACCAAGCCACTGGCAGTGGCTTCAAAGATGGCCTCTTTGTAATATCTTTTATCTTGGCCGATTAATACATAGAAGGAGCACTTACTTCCATTTCCTCCAGTTTGATAATATTTGGACTTGATCATTGTGTTTTTAGTTACTAATGTTCCAAGAAGATCAAAAGCGAACATCACGCTAGACGAACGGGTGTCCAAATGTTCATGTATTATTATCAAATTATTCACCAAGTATGGAGTCCACCGTCGAACACACAGAAACGATGTCTCCTTTTGACACTCTCCGGTGTCCAGACTCCAAATGCTAATGACGTACATATCACTATTGCGGTCGGCGCTAAAACCAACGACAACATTATCCCCAAGTCTGACTTGTGACTTTTCTCCAAAGTATTTTAGTTTATGCAAACGCTTTCCGCTACTCGCATCCCATACGTGAATGTAGTTATTAGAGTGAGCAGCAGCCAGCAGCTTATTCCGGTAATCGAAGTCACACCGTCTGTCGTCCCCTGTTGCATCATCCATTGTAAGCCGGCGTCGTTTTCCGTCTGGGACACCCCACAAGTGAATGTAGCAACTTTCCGTGAAGAAACTCGCCCTCTCGTGCGTACTAGCGATGATCAATTCACCGTCAAAGAACAATGACTTGATATTCCCTGGCCAGCATTCCTCCGTCACATGTAGCATCTGTCCTGTCCTGGCATCGAACACACGGACTCTCCCATCTAGACAACCCGCCCCCATTACGCCATCTTTGATCTTGATCATTCCCATCGAGTTGGCTAAAGTCGTACGTATGACACACTGATGGGTTTCCTTTCGAATGTCGAAGACGTGGACTGTCTCACTGGAGGTACACATTGCCAGAAGATCCTCATCGACAAAAGCATCTTTTGGGAAGGTACTTGAGAATGTGTTTCGATCTAGATCTTATTCCTTGAAATGAGAGCAATTCGTAGCCCAGTTTCTATTAGATGGTGAGCTCTCATGTAAACGCCTTTCCATCTGCAAGTGCTGGTTAAACCCGAAGTGTTGTCATCAGTAACGATCCTATCATTTTGGAAGGTGACGCTGTCTGGAAGGCGACTTGCTTCGATTTCGCTAGCGTCAGTTGCTTGATCGGAAGGTCCGTAGGAAACTTTCTTGGCCAGGTCTGTAGTGATGCCGTAGTGCTCCCATCCTCTGCTTTGGCAAAGAGGGCGCCATAATGAATCATGGTTGGTTGCATCGCGTAGCCGACGGCTGCATGATGCCACGTGACACAGGTCAGATGAATTAAGATGTTGGACAATAGTCTTTAATATGTCGTCAGGCACGGCGTAGATAGAAGATCCAATCGACGCCACAGAACTGCAGTGACTCTCGCTTTCACCTTCAGAAATTTCGTTGGTAGCCATCGTAGAAGATATCTGTAACAAATGAAACTGTTTCCGTTTATTTTATAGTGATCAAAGAATCAGCTCAGCTGGTAACCTGTTTTCACTTGACATTTAGTTCGTGTGCCTAGATTATTTCGTTTTATACAACGCCTAAATAAATCCCCGTCATCTGATTAATGAGTAGTTGAACACATGCCATTGAATTATTCGATACAAAAGGCCACGCCCGGCCGCACCGCAAGAAAATAAAATCTCTTATCCGCGATAAATAGACGTATCATTATGCCGCCCGCGGTCAAACTATTGATCTCTGACCAATCAGATGAAGTTGATTTATTTGCTTGTATAAAAATAGAATGAATGTTTCGCATTCGTGCAATGGAAAACATAATTTCACTCGGTGCAAGGTGGAATGTTCATTTCCCTTCGAAGTTCATCGGGAATGGAACATTACATCGGTCACCTCATGACATTATTTTTACCACTGAATTCCCCATATTCTTTATTTGTATACTGTATTACCATGTAATGAATTCGGCTATATATGTTTTATAGGGACACGTACTCTCGGCTATTTTTGCGGTATCAGCTATCAGGCATTAGTCCTGGCATAGCCTGTCGTCATACGTATGAAATCATCAGAAAAAGAGTATTAGATCGGCAAACCCCTTATGTGAAATGTTAACAAGGAAATGATAATTCGTCATTAATTATAAGTGGTAGGGTGGTGGAGTTTTCCAAGCTAGAATGACATGTACTCTCACTGACATGCTCGATCAGAAATTTCTGGGAGCTGCGTGCTCATGAGGATCGAGTCACGTGGTTGTGATTTCTGAAAGTAGTGGTTTGAGTACAAACAAAATCAGCTTTTTGACTCCAGTGACCCCATGATGACCTTTGATCCCAGTTTGGTCATGTGGCATGTCGGGGCTGGGCTACTGTTACTTGACAAAGTTTGGTTGAAATCGGTCACAATATGTAGGAGCAATATAGACAATGTCAACGTTTGTTACTAAAACGGAGAGACATGGTGATTTGTTGAGCTGCTATCCCGCAGCTAAAAGCCATTTGAAACGTACCTTTCAGAAAGGAATGCAGTTCACATATCTCCTTTACAGATATACCAGTTAAAACATCCACTCACAGGTCGCAATTCCAGCGATATGCTGATCAAAATGAACAGTTAACTGTAAGGGTACGTAGCTGTATAGCTGTGCATAAGCCAGTCACTGCATACGACATGTACAATTCGGAACTGTTTTTTTTCCCTGCACGCATACGTGAACACTGCGAGTTCCGGTGTAATTGCTTCGGTGTATAGTGGAATATAGGCCTACCCCTATACATAACAATAGCTTTAAGGTTAAACGCTCAAGTTGAGTGGTCAAGCGATCAGCCTGGGCGCATGCACATTGTAAGTGTGACTGGAGTAAACTGAGGCACACTTCAATGAAAATGGTAAAGAAAAGCTTTGCTTTGAAATCAGTTTCTCTTTGACAGGTTTCGCTGCGTCATGTTCTATTTTTGAATATGACGGCATTTTGGTTCCAAACAGTGCGACCCTTATGGGTGCAGACCAGTAAATCGATCCGAACTTGCCTACGCCGGCCAAATCACGATCATTTTTGCATGCCCGCAAATTCTTCAGTATTAGAGCATTTTGAAGGCCGTGAACTTGATGATTAAAAAAAAAAGGTTGGAAGCCGTGCAGAGGACTGCGAGCTCGTATATCTGTGAAATGTGGATGATCATTAGGCCCAAAAATGGCTCTATTTTGCAATGGAGCGTAGGCTTCCATTTTCAAAATAGCGATGGGCTTCATGACTGCTTTTATGGAATTTTCTCTCAAAGGTCATGATTAACCCCCAGAAAATAGAGCAGAAAATAAAAGATGATGAAATAATCTTTAATTTGATATACGTCTTAACACGTATTTTTCCTGAATTTCTGAAGTGGGGGAATTTAACATTGGGGTCTATGGAAATTTATGTTCTGGTCTGCTTTAGTTTCAACATGACGTCGTCCGTCGTTGCGGTGCGCATGCGCTATATTTCACGACAGTGTTTTTTTTTCAGGGGGCGTGACCTTGGGGCGCGTTTAAAAAAAGGGGTCACCAATGGTGGTTCCGCAACAAATGCTTCCAAATCTGAAGGCCGGTCCGATACCGTCAGCGTATTTTTTTTTCCTAGGAGGGTTAGGGGCAATGTCATGAATAATTCAGTTTTTTCTTTGAATCATTGCAAGACTTAGGTTCTCGTTCTATTTTCCCCTTAATTTAAAATTATCTCAGTGATAAATTTGGAGAAGAAAAATAGCTGATGAAAATGAGCAGCGACGACGTGGATTCGAACCAGGGATCTTTGTATCCATAGCTCATCTCACTATCCACTAGGCTACTGTGTGGCAGCTCAACGACAACCGTTCTTTAAAATGCTTTAATGTATTGTAACTAGTTGAGTAACTAACAACAATGCTGTTGATGTCATTGTCCGTTCTCATGGATAAACATGAATTATTCATGACATTGCCCCTAACCCTCCTAGGAATAAAAATTACGCATACCGTCATCCGATCACAGCAATTTCAAGCGAAAAAGGGGAGGGGTGATTTGGGGTTGGAAGGAGCATAACTCAATTAAAACCCGTTGGGGGCGCCCCACAGCAAGGCAGCCACAAACAGAGGGTTTGTTTTCAGGCAAGACATCGAATTCAGAGATTTTTTGGATGGAATTTTTGTGGATGGAATTTTCTCCCAAACGTCACTTGTTTAACCCCCATAAAATTGAACAGAAAATGAAAGATGATGAAATAAGCCTTCGTGTACGTCTTGAGAGTTTTGAGTATGTTTCCTGAATTGCTTAAGTAGGGGCATTTATCATTGGGGTCTATGGAAATATACTTACTGGTCTGCAACCTTATGTCGCAATGTCGCAACTCTCTCCATACGGCTCTGACCGCGAGTGTTGGAGAGCGCCATCTATAAAGCAAATTCACGCGTAAATAATGCAGAATCCTTAAAAAAATCCTGGATCTAGATCCGTCATCACTTCCAAAGTCTAATGGATTTCTACTTTTACCAAGGACCACCCAAAAACACATTTTCATGCAAATCCGTCCATAATCTTTTGATCGAGTTATCTTGTTAACAGACAAACCAACCAGCCAACCAACACGATGAAAACATAACCTCCAAATTGGCGGAGGTAATAAGTAAAGTCTTTTTAAAGGGAAAATACAACATTTGCAAACATCAAAAAATAAAACTACCAAATCATTTTGAAATACCTTGCTGGACTGTTATATGACAGTGTAAAGCATCCTGTAAAATCATGGCACCTGCATGGTATACTATCATTTTCAAGAAAAGTGGTATTTCTGTATCAATTTCCAACGCTGATCGGCCGATCAGCGTTGGAAACAACTGGTTTTTTTTCAAATACTGGCCCCAATTGACCATCGCACTTGTTTGCAATCGATTGCAAACCCAATGTATGTAAACTGCTCTGTTTCTTCTTATATGGAGTCAGGGAACCAGACTACAGGAAAATGATCGTTTTTCTTGGTTTTTATAGCATTTTCGAACCCAAAACCTCAAAAAAGTCAGTGTAACTATATTTGCTACTATATATTTCCAACCCCCCAATTCCATCCATTTCTGAAAGTTACAGCAAAAGCAAATGATGTATATTCCCTTTAAACATGGAGATCACTGGCCGCGTTTTGGCGCTCTTAACCTGAAACATATTTCTGACGTCACAGCCACCACAGGGAAAAAAAATGTTTCAAGTGCACCGCGAACACGCCTCTGACCACGGCAACAAATTGTCAGTGACGACACACTCACTTTGCAAACAAGCCGTCCATGTATAGGCTACTTTATATGCTTAAGAATGGTGATGGGGGAAGGAAAAAATTGGAGAAGAGGAAGATGTCGACAGCAACATGATAATTTATGTCAATGTGCTAATTGTTAGTAGCGACTGTAGTTTATCATGACGTAATAGCTTAGGACCATGATGACGACCGCAAGTGCAGCAGTATATAGCTTCGTCATCACAAGAAATCCATTGACCTCAAGGTAATTGTCCGTTTGAGTTCATGCTGTAATTCAAAATCAAAACTTTACAACAATTCCACAATAGACCCTCTATTTCGAGTATATTGGTCTTCAAAAATGCATTGCAATTTGCATGCCACTGAAAAATTGCCTGTGTTAATTTTACCCAAGAAAGGGTGAAAACTGGAACTACCCAAACTTGGGTTGTTCTATAACCAATTGTTTGGGTTGGATTTTATGTTAAATTCAACCAAAAGTTGTAGTCATACAAGACCAAATTAAATTTGGTCTTGAATGACCACAAGTTTTGGTTGAAATTAGCAGAAATTCTAACCCAAACAACTGGTTAAAGAACAACCCAAGTTTGGGTAGTTCCAGTTTTCAGCCTTCCTTGGGTAACATTAACACAGGCAATTTTTTTCAGTCTAGTGTGGGTTCAGAGATTTTATCAGCATGTGTTAACGGTCACAACGTCAAGGCGCGGCTCTGTGCTATTAACCAAATAATTTAGCAAACACAAGAGGGCGACATTGCTCACTGTCTCGTTCGGAGAGATACAGGCAATAAAGTCTGGAGTCCAGACGAACGGATAATTCTGACTCTTTCGTATAGCCAGACAGCCGTCACATTCAGAAATAGAATATGACGCAGAGTGAGAAACCTAGCTGCATCAAAGCAAACCTTTTTTCAAAGCAAATCTATTTTTACCGGGAAAATAATTTAAGTGTATCTCAGTTTTCTCATGGGTTTACTCCAGTCAAACATAAAAGCGCGTGCACCCAGGCTCATTGCTTGCGCATTTTGTACTTGACCGTTTGACCTTCAAGCTATTGTTGTTGCCATGTATGTAGGGATAATGCCTTACTGCACACAAGCAATGCACTCTGCAGTTGCACGTGCATGTACATGTACATGTACTGTACATGCTGTACACGTGCAATTGAAAACAACTGTACTGAATTTCGCATGCTCTATGCAGAGGCATGGCATGACCAGGCTGGCTTGTACACAGCTACAGTTTACGTACACTTAGTAGTTAATTTAACTATGACTTAACTGTGCATTATGATCAGCATATCACTGGAAATACGACCTGTGTGTGGATTGTTTTTACTGCCATATCCGCGTTATATAAAGAAGATCTGTGAAGTCTGCATTCCGTTCTGAAAGGTACGTTTCAAATTAGCTCTACTGAGTGGAGCCGTTGAACTACGGTACCCTCCATACGGTACCCTCCATACGGAGGGTACCGTAGTTCAACGGCTCCACTCAGTAGAGCTAATTTGTTTCAAATGGCTTTTTAGTGAGCTATCTCGTTCCGAGCGTAAACTCCGAGTCCCTACCCTGCTGCTTATGGCGAATCATTTTTCCTTATCTAATTTTCATTTCCCGAGGATCTCATTATATGTAAGTCTACAGGCTATGCCATGTGATCCCGTCAAAATAGCCAAGAGTTTCCCTGTACGAGAAACATAGCTGACTTCAGTACATGGTAATACAGTGTACAAATAATGTATATTTAGCCAGCGCCGGCTAAATGTAGGTAAACGCTATTGTTCCGTGCAGGTTGAACAACGCCCTCCACATTATAAAAGTTACCATAGTGGGATGTGGAAGTCCGCGTGTAAGTCATGGATGGAGAACCGGGTTCAATTCTCAGCCATAGCGACATATTCGAATTTTTTTTCATCCCCAAAATTAAGAATATTTGTCTTTTATTATTTAAATTGACTCCAACATTTAATTACAGAATATGACATTTTCTTTTTGTGATTCTTGTCCCTGGAGGGTTTTTTTTAAGGGAAATGAAGTCCGAAATAATAAAGTCGTAAAATGGTTTGATTCCCATCTCGTGAATACGAAGTCACTGTCACAACGACAATGTTGGCGCGGAACCAGACTAAGATTTGTCACGGTAATAATTTCCAAGTCCCTCCCCCCCCCCCCAAAAAAAAAGTCGCTGTGCAAATGTTCAGTGCTTAGCCGGCAAAATATTGTTTACTTAAAATTGAGCCGGCGCGGGCTAAATAAACACTGCCAATAATGAATGTCTGTGAGTGCAATGGTAAACATAATTCGGATGTTATGCTCCACTCACGCAAGGTCGAGTGGAAAGGTGCATTCCTCCTTTCACCGAATGAATTCTATTTTCAATCCCAGGAGAAATTCAAATCGCATTCCATTAAAGGTGGGATCCAAATGTTGTCCCCATTGATTCTCACTGTGTTCCATTGTGATATATTCCATGCGCACTCAAAATTCATTGGAACGGGACTCAGTGGTATTCGGTTGCAATTTTCTTGGTTGCACGAATGTGAAACATTCATAATTAAAGTGAATAAATCATCTTTTGATTGGTCGGAGCCATCTCTAGTACTTCTGTGTACCGTGGAAAGAACTTTTTGGCGGTGCGGCCGGGCCGTAGGTAGTGTATTTAATGACACGTGATCAACTACCCACCAATCAGATGAGAGGGATTCATTTAAGCATTGTAGAACACTAAATAATCTAGGCACACGAATTAACTGTCAAGTGAAACAGGTTATACCAGCTGAGCTGAGTCCGTGGTAAATATAAAATAAACGAAGACACGTTCATTTGTTACAGATATCTTTTACGATGGCCACAAACGAGATTTCTGAAAGTGACAGCGACAGTCTCTGCAGTTCTTTGGCATCGCTTGGATCTTCTATGTACGCCGTGCCTAACAACTTGTTACAGATAATTTTCCGACGTCTTAGTGCGTCTGACCTGTGTCACGTGGCATGTTGCAGCCGTTGGCTACGTGATGCAACCAATCAGGATTCTTTATGGCGCCCTCTTTGTCAAAGCAGAGGATGGGAGCACTACGGCACCACCACAGACCTGGCCAAGATAGCGTCCTACGGACCTTCCAAGCAAGCAACTGGCGCTACTGAAGCAAGTCACTGCAGCGTCACCTTCCAGAATGATAGGATCGTGACGGATGACAACACAGCGGGTTTAACCAGCACATGCAGGTGGAAAAGCGCCTACATGAGGGCTTACCATCTGAATAGAAACTGGGCTACGAATTGTTCTAATGTCAAGGAATTAGATATAAATATGTACAGGCCCCATGATGTCTTCTCAGACCAAGCTTTTGTAGATGGGGATCTGCTAGCAATGCGTACCTCCGATAAGACAGTCCATGTCTTTGACATTCGGAAGGACACCCTTGAGTGTGTGATCCGTGAGGACGCTCCCAACAAGAGGGGAATCATCAAGATCAAAGATGGCGTAGCCGTGGTGTCTTGTTCCAGTGGGACGGTCCGTGCATTCGATGCAAGAACAGGACAGATGCTGCAAGTGATGGAGACAGCCGGGCAAGGGGAATTCATATCATCGTTCTTTGACGGTGAATTGGTCATCGTGAGTACCTACGACATTTGGAGATACGTCAGACGGGACAGTCGTTACATTTACGTGTGGGGTGTCCAAGACGGAAGACGACGCCTGCTGACAATGGATGATGCGACAGAGATTGACGGATGGCGCGAAATAGATTACCGGAATAAGCTGCTCGCGGCTGCCCACTCTGATAACTACATTCGCGTGTGGGATGCGAGGAGCGGAGAGCGTTTGCATAAACTAAAATGCCCACAGGGCGCCTTCGGTGTTAAACTTGGGGATAACGTTATCGTTGGTTTTAGCGCCGACCAAAACAATGCTCTGATGAACATTATTTGCATTTTCAGTCTGGACACGGGGGAGTGCCAAAAGGAGATATCCTTCCTGTCTGCCAATACGTGGGATCCGTACTTGACGAATAGTTTGATAATGATAGTAAAAAAAGGGCGGGTTTTCAATTCGATGTTCGCTTATGATCTTCGTGGAATATCAGTCACTAGAAAAACACTGAAGGGGTCGATACTCCATCCCACTTACACGGATCATGACAATGGAAGCAAGTTCTCCTTTAGTGTGTTTGACGAAGAGGAAAGACGGTACAAAGAGTTCATCTTTGAAGCCACTCCCATGGGCTTGCTGCGACTTGGTGCTTTTAGTCGTGACCTACGCGATGTTGAAATCATCTGGATGGACGAAATCAGAATGCTTCGCTATGACACACGTCATAAGAGACTCCTCATCCATCATTACTGGTGAACCAGTGATGGCACCTGACCAAATGAATGCACTCTCGATGATCATGACTAATAATGAACATCGACATTGTCAGACATGTCAGAAATACTGACAATAGGTCAGATCTGGTCTCCATCTTTTTCACCAAATTATATATAACTCGTTATGGACTCCAAGCGTAACTATATCCTCTGCAGTGGAAACAAAACACTCGTTACTAGACAGGTCGAGTGCACTATGATTGTTTATACAACACCTGAATATATCCCCGTCATCTGATTGGTGGATCGTTGATCACATGCCATTGAATTATTCGTACCAACGCACGAAGCGCGAGTGGCGCGCAGCGCACAGTGCAATGGAAGTTATATTGCACGGTGAATAGAACTTCCATTGCACTGTGTCACTGCTGCTGGTAGTGGCGCTGTTTTAAATCGAGATAAATTGAATATGATTGTTCTCAACCTGTTGAACAGTTTGCATTAATAAAATGTGATGAACTTGTCGAACCTTTTTAACAGTTTTTACCTTAATAAATTAGCTATTAAAAGTCAACCAATCAGATGACAAGGATTTATTCAGGTGTTATATAAAACAAATAATGAATGTTTCACGTTCGTGCAATGGAAATAATAATTTCATTCGGTGACAGATGAAATGTTCCATTCCACTCGGCTTCGTCTCGTGAAATGGAACATTTCATCTGTCACCTCATGAAATTATCCTTACCATTGCACTCACAAACATTCATTATTTGTATACTATTTCAGTCCACAGCCTGCTGTCATAATAGTTACACTTTTGTGTTCCTTTTACCGAATGGACCCCGTTATTCTATGGTATAGGACTTTGACATTGTATTGGTTGAGAACTGTTCACGTGACACATTGTAGAGGTATATTATGACGACCTGATGGACTCGACGGAGTACATCACTTCTTCTTGTTCCATGGATACATCGCCTTTCATTATTCTCAAAGACATTTTGAACAGTATCGTTTCCTCCAACCGGAGTTCGAATGCGTTCGAATGCCCCTCCCCCTGTGGTCTCTCTCCCTTTGTAACCGTTGAGGGGGTACTTGCACATGGATTCCATTTTAATGTTCAACAGTGATCTCAATGTATACATGTACGCAATTAACAGAAGAAATAAGTTTTTGCATTTGAGATCATCCTAAAAGGGGCTTGGGCGGTCATTTTCTTTTTTAACCCGATGTTGCCATGCACGTGTAGAATTAGATAACGCTTTCTCGACGATACTAATACTTGAGACCGTGTTTGGAGACGCATTCCATACTTGTCTCTGAGAAATAGGAAGACCTTTGGTTTGCTGTGATGACCAGGTCTGGAGTAAATACAGACCTGAATCCTAATGAGGTCACGCATAGTAGTTTACATGTGCACTTCCCATGCATGGAAGCCAGGTTGGGACAAGAGAAACATGGCTTCCATAAGAAAGAATGTGTTGTTATACCTCTGTCTTGGATTCGTTGGAGTTGTGATGTAAAAATCACGAAAACAGTCGAACGTTAACTTATATGCTTGTCGCGTGCTCGAAACAGCTGGTCGTCTGCTAGTTCGCTGCTCCCACTCATGCGTGAAAACATGTTGGAAAATAGCGAGGGTACCAACGATACCAGCGTTGTACACCGTGCGTACCGTGCGTGCAAACTCAAAGCACACTCCCTGTGGGATACGCGATACCCCACAGGGAGTGTGCCATAACTTTTTATAAACTTAACACTTGATCATTCTAGGCCAATGGAAATACAGTATTTAAGACAGAGGTATAACAATACTTGTGAGCAATGTGTGACATGATGATTCAGGCATATTGATTATTTTGCATAATTATTTTGACCGACTTTGTAACATGACAATGTTTACTTACAACATCACCCGCAGGACAAGTTTCCTTGACTCTGAAAATTCTAGGGTCCGCGATTTGATCAGGATTCCGGGTTCTGGTCAAAATTACACGTCTCTTGGTCATTTTCCCCGTCAACTTGACTCGGAAACCTAGGCACAGTGTCATTTTGACCATGAAAAGAATCAACTGTGCATGTACTATGTATGGGCGGGCTCTGATTCCATTCAAAGTATGTTATAATATTACTGTTCTCTTATTATGGTTTTCTTTTTTGTTATTCTTTAGCTTCACCTTTTACATGCATGTTCTGGATCTGATAGTGGTTTAATAAATAATCTGATTATGAGCCACTCCGGGAAATGAGTATTTTAAGTTTTCTTTCCATAACTGAGTAGCAGGCAGGTCTCCCAACAAGCCTGTGTGCTGATGATGTCACACTTTGTTTACATCTACACTTTCCTATGGAGACAATGGGGCCCACGGTCCACTGAGCACCATAGTAAACAAAGTGTGACATCATCAGCACACAGGCCTAGGACTTATGCAGCAGGGCCGACCTCTACATTGGGTCCAGTGGCGTAGCAAGGTCACTTAAATTGGGGAGGGGGCGGGGTAGACTTGGAAAGGACACTCGCCCATGTGTGATGAAAGGTAGACAGGGTTTTTTTCACCGGTCATTTTGCCTCCATAAAATAATAAAAATTAGGGGAACATTTCACTGGAAGAATCATTGAAGCGTGGCTCAGTTGCCTGCAGTCAAGCTAATATGCGCAGCGCCCAGGCTGCTCTTTTGAACTCGTCCCTATATCCCTACCGAAGCAGAAAACAAAATTGGCGCCTCCTATCCGCTCCGTTCACGAGTACCCCCTCACCGGCAAAGAAAGTACAGTTGGGGGTGACCGACCGACGCCATCTTGTCTGACTGCAATTTTGCCGCGACGCGCGGCCCGGCCGTACCACTGCGTGTACATAGTACAAATCCCCTGGTGTACGTGCGTCACACACAAGGAACGGTGCGCGTCAACCAGCTAAATGTCCCGCCCATGGGACGTCTTTGCTAGGTAAAAGGGCGTCCTCTTTTGTTGGCGCACGGAGCCATGAGTTGAGGACCTTTGCCTTTTTTTAAAATCCTCTCACTAAAGGGGAACACTGTGGCCCTCGGCACCGTCGCTGATTTGAGAGTCGTCCAAATAGGTCGAAAAGAAGAAAATGGCCGCCACCCTGTCTCATTGTCAGGATTCAGATTCGGGTAGGAACTTCCTTGTTTTCGAAGATTTGTATAAAACAAAATATTTCATAATAGTTGTAATTAACAACTTATTAATCTATCTTAAAGCTAAAGCTCTGGAGGAAAACAGAGACACAAATAATAGACACGCTCAGGCTCAGAATGACATGGTTAGACTTGCAAATTTATTGCGTTTAAGAATACTTGCATATTTTAAAACACTCAATTGCTTTTAGATGGAGCTTACGGTGTTTTTATTTTTACAAGATTGTAGAAATTGCTCGTTGCACATATTTCACAGTTGTCTCTGCGTTAATTGCGTACGTGACACTTTACTCCAACTCCGATCATAGCATAGAGTCCAAGTTCCCACAAATATGCTTATGAAATGGCGACATCGTGATACCATAATTTTTTCTTTCCACAGTAGGCCTCTGCAGCATTTATTTACTATAACTGTCATGAAAGGTAGGATTCGAACTCCACACATTAATACTGAAGCCTTGTTGGCTTGCACCTTTCATTTACGATAACGATTACAACCACAAATACTACCTTTGGCGTCGTAAGATATACCTTTGGGAGCATGTGGAAATAGGGAGTCTCCCTGTGTATCATTTACATCAAGTCTTAAACTTTATTTTTACTGTCAGAGTTTGTGTTTTGAATATGAGGAACAAGTCATTTGTATTTTCTGAAATATTAATGGCGATGTTGGTATGTTTTCCTTTGCAAGTTCTCCTACATTCACCGAGGAGGGAACAGAGGATATTTTAATTGTATTTAATGGGTATTCATCAGTTCGTAGAACGGTAAATGATCAGTGGTGAACAGCTGAATGTTGTAATCCTCATTATAAGATAAACTTAACTTGGGAATAAACCACGCAAATTACGTGACTTTTTCACGGTTACTAGTCAATGACATGTATACTTTAAGTAGGTGTTTTTTTATGAAATGGAGCGAGCCACATGTTTTTATCTTTAATCTAATTCGGTCACTTTCTTTGACTCGCCCTGCAAATTTGTGTATAGACCCGGTTTGATTTCCCAGGATTTGTTTTAGTATAATAAGCATATTTTATTCCCTCGTAATGAAGTAGTTTAGGTCAAAGGCCATTACGGATACTAACGTCTGACGAAGAATAATTACAAAAGGTTGCTGCCAACTTTAAACTGGTTGAATATTTCATTAAACCTAAGCCAACTTGCAGAAAAGTACCACAAAGAACCAATATGGCTCGTCCTTCTGGAGATTTTTTTTTTACTCGAATGACCTATGACCCATTATATTTACGCAGGCGCAGTTAGAATACCGAATTGGCTTTTTAGAAGGTTTTATAAAGCAATTGACGGCAACGGGGTCTGAGCAGCTGACGCTCTTGTCAGTTTTTTTCTTTGTGGTTTAATCGATATGTAATTTACAAAAATTCATATCCTCTCTGAGTGATCCCCGTGTACCATTGCCCAGGCTTGAAGCATTGCTAAATAATTGATATAGGTTCGTGAACGGTTCGTGAAATCCCTGAACAGCGGCCACTAAAATAAATAAGATTAACAAATTTGGAGAAAACATCAAAGGACTAGTCAAAATCGTTCCAGTAATTTTCTTTGTTGAACATTATGCAATATTCCCAGCACGATATGTGACATTGGGTCACCCCACCCCCAATCTACCTATACCCTATGCATACCCCAAAGTATTGTTATCTAACAATCCCCCTAGATATCTGAAAAGAATTACATGTACTGAGATTCTGGTAGCACAATATTAATGACCAACACAAAAGAGGGGGAGGGGGTTCCCTCTGTCACATAACGCGCTACATATGTTATGCACCACGCCAGCTTCTCTTTTGTGGTGTTAGGCCTATAAGATGTTTCAACACTGGAAGAGCACCTGAAAGCAATTATTGCACTGGGCTCTGAAACGTGGTCTACCCGATGTTCCCCAAAATCCTTAGGGTTAGGGTTAGAGTTAAGCCTGGCGCACACGAGAGCTATCTACTTCGCCAAAATTCATTCGTGGCCGATGGCGTAAGCAGATATAGCTCCCGTGTGCGGTCAGTTTTTGTCGTCCAAGATTGCAGTCGCCACAAATTCACTGGGCGCAGCCATTTTGCCTTTTTACGTCATATGACAGAAGCACGCATGCGCTCAACACACAAGCCGAAAGCAGATAGCTTTCGTTCACCGCACACAGTAAGTGACTTTGGGCACGAGAGACTAGAATTATCAAACATGTTAGATATTTGGCGCAGCGTCACGAATGACCAAAATCTTTGGTAAAACTGACCGCACACGGGAGCTATCTGCTGACGCATCGGCCACGATGGACATTTGGCGAAGCAGATAGCTCTAGTGCGCGCCAGGCTTTCAGTTAGATGGTTAGGTTTAGGGTTGTGGTTTGGGGAACATAGGTAGGTATTGGGGACCATAGGTATGCACCCCTCTGAAACTGCAATGTCGGTCTACGTGAACGTGTATTTACAATGGGCGAAACTTTACTTTTTAACTGATGGAAAACAGTCGGCTAAAAACCCACCAAAATATGAGGTTTAAAATGACATCATTTCAGTTAAGGTAAGGATTGCACTGCTCAATGTTTCCGCGTCTCGTCCGGCCGTAAACGAAGCTTATCCCCACAATGGTTTTTAAATTTTAACCCTCTATGTAGAAGTTAAAGGCGATGAGAAAAAGTTTTGCCTTTTTATAACACAATAAAACATCCTTAATAATTTCAGTTTCAAGAATCTTCCATAGTTTTTCTTCACTGTGATTGAATACAATCAAAGCGCTGTAGCCTTTAACATTAGTTTTGTTAATAATCAGCACCTGTTAATATTTGTTAATATTGATTGATTAATTAATGAGACCAGGTGGTAAAAGCCTGCATTCATAATTTCATGTGACAAGATCCCTTTGATTACCCTTCAAAATCACATTTTTTAAAGATCAGGACAGAAACACAATTTTGACATGCATCTTTCTTTCAAAATCACGGGTTTTTTTAAGATCAGGACAAAAACACAATTTTGACATGCATCTTGCTAATTACACGAGCTGCATGCTGGTATAGCTGGTTTTGCATCACCAATGTTCAGTACCGTGAACTCTGTAACGGTCGCATTTCAGGACAAGTCGAGGCACTGGACCCGACCTGAGCCAAGTCTAGATTGCGAGTGGAGGTCGGTCAATGTCAGTCAGTCCACCTTCGCAAAGTTCCTTCCACTTTCAGGGTTCTGCATCCATCATAACAGACTGTGAAGTGTAAGGGCACTTTACGTACGAGATGACACTTTACAACTCTTTAGGATAAAAGTCAATGCGCGCGATGAGTTTGAATTGACGGCCGAATACGCAATTTCACTGCACACTCTGACGATCGTATTGTTAGTGTCCCAGTCGACGGCTATAGGCCTACTTTGCGTGATTTGCGGCAGTATTCTAGCACACAGCTTACGAGCAGTAGAAATACGGCGACTAGCTGGATGCTTCCCAGTACAATAAAAGAAACATCGTAGTTACCAAAATAGTCGAACAACCAACCTGCACAAAGACAAGAAATGACAGAAAGATTTATACCAAATGACGTCATCAGCTTTATATACACAGGGTAAGTAAAAAAACGCAATAATGAAAATGGGCCATCTTTCTTTTTTTCAAAACCAACTGGAAGTTTTGAACTTTTTAAACCGTGTAAGAATGACATATTCGTTAGTAACCGTGTGTGAAAAAAAATGAAGTTAATTGCATTTACCGTTTGTCTTTTGCGAAACTTTTTACAGCGGTATCCGATTTACGTTTTTGTCTGCGAGCCATCAGAATTTTGCATAAGAGCGGAAACGGTACAATAAAGACATTATGGACAACACAGATTTCAAACTGACTGAATCTTAGCTCAAGCTTTATTTTTCTGTTTCACTTCTTTATGTTTATGCAAAGTTTCTCATGGGCTATACTATAGTTACTGTGTCCTTCATTGTTCACACAATTGGAGCTCTGCCCTCTACTTGGCAACCCTGCAAGGCAAATGAGTGCATGTCTCAGCTCTAGACCTCATGGAAAGAACGGCTTTGGGGACACATAATTATTGTGCTGTTATAGACGTCTCGTGAACAAAAACGTAAATTGGGTACCGCTGTATAAAGACAAACGGTAAATGCGACTAGCCTCATTTTTTTCACACAGGGTCACTAACACATATGTCATTCTTATACCCCCGTCACACCGGAGGCGCGGTGCCACTACGGTTTTTGGTCAAAACCGCCATCACCGTAGTGACACCGGCAGTAGTTTTTCATAGTTTTCCCCTACCCGTCATATACCCCCGTCACACCGGAGGTGCGGTGCCACTGCGGTGATTGTACGGCATAAACCGCAGTGGCACCGCCATGATCGCCGTGGTTCCGCAGTGGTTCCGTCATTGATCGCCGTAGCACCGCGGAAAACTGTCAAAACCGCGGACCTTCGCGATTGCACGGCGGTTGTACTGCGGAGGCACGGCGGTGATAGAGGTCCTACTGCGGTCCTTGTACGGTGCCACGGCGGTCATGGCGGTGCCGCGGCGATCCCACTGCGGATTGGCCCAACCCGCGGTGGCACTGCGGAAGTTTTGAACATGTTCAAAGTTTACGCCGTGCCACCGCGAAGGTCCGCGGTTTTGACAGTTTTCCGCGGTGCTACGGTGATCAATGACGGAACCACTGCGGAACCACGGCGATCATGGCGGTGCCACTGCGGTTTATGCCGTACAAGCACCGCAGTGGCACCGCACCTCCGGTGTGACAGGGGTATAACACAACTTCAACTTGCTTTTGAAAAAAAAAAAATGGCGCCTTGGCATCATTGCAGTTGTTTTGACTCACCCTGTAGCAGTTTCATTATTGAAGAATAATTGAAGAAGACAAAATAAAAAAGTTATACAACGGTTCCAAAACAATGACGAATAGGAGATATGAGATCATGATTGTCGTGTTTCGGTACATTTGGGACAGAACAATCGTCGATTGTAGCCCGTCTGTCAGTAATGTCATATAGGCAAAATAACACATTTAGCTAATGGCTTTCTTGCCTTACGCCCACAGCCGTGTTCAAAAACGAAAACTCTTATGAAAAAAAAACTTTTTCGCTTGTAGTCATTGTTGCTTCATAAACTTTTGAATATGTGACACATTCTATTTATGTACACATTAAATAAAATCAGGTTTCGCATAGCCTAGCACTGTGAAAACAGCGAGTATAACACCAAGCAGCCAAAGGTTGTGAAATTCAACGGATCTTTGGTAAACCGGCGTTTGAAATCAAAACCAATGCAATTATCAAAAAGTGTATATAGGTCCTTACATGCGATTTCGTCAGATACAAATGCCTAACCTGACGCTTCAGTCTGCCCGATCATACCTGATGGTTGATAGGGTTTTTTTGGTAGGGTAAAATCTTAATTTTTTGGACGCGCATGCATGTGTACAGATTTTAACCAATTTTCGCAGAGGAAGAACTTCACTTTCCACATCAGAGTTTGATTGATTGTTATTGTTCCTGACTCTGGTACATTTTCAGCTGTATTCCCAAATATTGAAATATAGAGGTCGTCACAGTATGTCATGAGAAAGATATTTGGCTATATAGGGTCACCGCAGATGTGTCCTTTACAAACTTACACGTCGAATAACAAGCAATGGCAGCTAATTTGAAATTTTTAAAAGTTGCTTGTTATTCTACCTATATTTTTTTTTCAAAGGACAAATCTGCAATGGCCCTTTAACCAAATATATCTTTCTTAAGACATACTCTGACTGTGTGCCAAATGCCATGCTTGTATCATCAATGGCACAATTCCCCAAATTATTCCATATATGCCCCATTATTACGACTGTTGCAAAATATATTTTTAGCAGGTTTCTTGCCCAGTTCGGGGGCAAACAGTTTTTATAAGAAAAACCGCGGCTAGTTGGCATGAAATACTTTCAATTCTCTATGTTAACTCAACCTATAGGTAACATTTAATGGTGCATAGGATTACATATTGTTTTTGCTTTTTCGTGCATTTTTTGGGTCGTTTGAAAGAGCAAAAGTGGTCGAATTAAATGTAAGAAAGTTAAACGTTGTAAGTACGGGGTACATGCATAAGAACTAACGTATTGAAGTGTTAGCTCAGTCGCTACAAACTAAGCATTAAAATTCAGGAAAAAAAGGAACAATCCTAAACATGTCTTGATCTCGGAACTTGATTCCGTTGCTAATGCACGTAAACAAGTGTGCCCGAGGGTCGGCACCCTATACCATTTCAGGCAGACTAATTTCGCGGGGAATTTGATATCAGTCATTTCTTCACTTGGAGCAAGGCTTGTGTCATTCGATCAGTAGGTATTTTCTGGGTAATTGGAAAAAAAGATCCCACGCGGCTTCAATGTGCCGCCATCTAACATGTGAGGGGGAAGAAACTAATAAAAAAACATCTCCCGTTTTACCTGTTAAAAAACCCGCCAGCATTCGTCCCACTCCGGCGAAGCCGTACGACCACCCCAAGGCATTGGCGAATTTGGAAGGGTGGACCGCGTCCTTGACCACCACAACCGAGATGGGGAAATAGATGCCACTGGCCAGACCGTAGGCCAGCGAGGCGGCTGTGAGAGTCTCGAAGGAGTTCAGGACGGGGTCCAGCAGCAAGGACACCGAGGCCAAGATGGCGGCCATGGCCAGGAGCTGGGTCGCTGTCAGGCACTTGCGGTCCACCAGCACCCCGTGACTGGCCCGGGCGATGATGTTCGTCACGCCCGCCACCGAGGCCAGGAAGGTGGCATCGATGGGCGAGATGCCCTTCTCGATGGCGTGCGGGATCAGGTAGATCAGCCAGCCCATGTAGGTAAACCGCCCGCAGAACTGCACGATCATCAGCAGCACGAACGGCGGCTCTGTGAACAGCGACAGGCCTAGGACGCCCTCGCTGGACCGCCAGCACGTACTGCAGCAGGAGCTGCAGCAGGATCGCTTGCACTCTTTTTCCGGTTCTGAGATCCCCATCCGAGCCGGTGCCGGTGCGTTATTGGAGTCGTCGTCGGTATCGTTGCAAGAATCGATACCGTTCTCGTCGAAGTTGGACGGGAGCCGCTGGTACCGACGCCCGACGGCCTGCTTCTCTACGTCCTTTTTCTCGCGGCCGTAGCCGCGGAGCGGTCTCAGTAAGGCTCCACAGGCAGTCACGTGCAAGGACATAGCACCTATAATGGACAGCGCCCCACGCCACCCGTAGGCGTCGATCAGCACCTGCGAGAGAGGGGCCAGGGTTAGAATCCCCACCCCGGACCCGGAGTAGGCCAGGCCGTTGGCCATGCTGTACCGTTTGTCGAAGTAGCGGCTGATCATAACTAGGCTGGGAGTTAGGGCCAGCCCTAATCCAATTCCTGCCGAGAGAAATTGAAGAAATACACAATAAAACAAAATAGTAAATTGTATAATTTAGATTTTAGATCAGCATAAACCGGTATATTTTAAAGTTTGGAGTACGTGGAATGCGGAGTTTCCGGCCTGTGCACTCACAAAGTGGGTGAACTAACTAACACGCCTACGCAATGTCTGAACCGGGCTTCTGGAGCTGGGGTTACGTCTATATTCAGTGTGTTCCCACGTAGTAATAATGGTCAAAGACCTACACAGGATATCTTGACAGAGAAGTGGGACGCGAGCCAGGAGTCCACAATAAGAAAAAGAAGCCGGATTCCATAGAATTTCAAATTCCATATGGTTCCAGAACCACCACGAGGTAACGTGGATTGATTTTACCAAGCGGCGCTGTATGACGAATGATTACGACGCGCCTGATGCTACTGTTCATCTATTTTGTGCCTGATGTTTCAAACACTTAGGCCTAGGAGGGGGACACATGGCACAGCTCATGACAAACGGTAAACTGTGCGTCGTACGGGATGACAACTATCTAAACATCTTTTGATTTGTTTTTTGGGAGGCCTTTCTTCTTTTTAGTCAAACTAAAGTTAAACCATAGGCCTACTGCTCGCTCGAACTGTCTCACGACCTAAAGTTGTAAAATGGCAATTCTGTGCAAAGCGTTATACATGTACAGCGCCCTCACAAGGTATAGAATGGCCAGTTACCTGCAACGGCCAGGAGCCAGGACAACTGCAACATCGTCTGAGCGAAGAAGGCGGCAGTGATCAGCCCAGAGCTGGCAAAGATCCCGCCCACCACGGCGACAGGCCGGCAGCCGAACCGCTGACAGAGCGGTCCACTTATTAGACCTGGAATAAAGAAAGCAGTTGTACGGGGTTTATCAAAGTGGGAAAGAAAAGTATTCGAAAGAAGTATGTTAAAATTAGGAACTTCAACACTGCCAGTGCATCTGGAAGGATTGTTTAACTTTCCACTGATACGCTACTGAAAAGTAGATGGATAGTCTAAATCCATCGATTTGAAACAGCCGACATCACACATGCTCTTGTTTGAAACTTACAAAATCGACCTCGGAGGGATGGCCCCCGTGAAGGGCAGCTCGGGGGGGGGGAGGGGGAACGGAGCCAGTTGCCCCCCCCCCCAAAAAAGAAACCTTTTTTTAAGTGACGTACACTACCATCTTTTCCTCAAACAAAAAATGGTAAGAGACTGCCTCAGATCGTACTACAGAGCATCTAGAATTAAAAAAAACCACGCCGTCATTTTGGGGTCCCATTTTTTTTTTTTTTTTGGGGGGGGGGGGGACTAAATTCCCCCCCCCCCCAACAAAATGGTGCTCTAGATCCGCCCTTTCTCCCCCCCCCCCTTCGGTCCCCACTATCTTGGATGTCATTGATTGGCCAGTGATTCTACGACGTCATGCCTTTTGTTTAATACTGAAAGGCAAAGATTCCGGGTAAGTGCGTCATATGCTTTCACATATCTAGTGTAATTTCGATATGAAAATCATATTTACATTGATAAGCATGTAGTTTTATAGAGTGAAGTGTTTTTTTTCTCTCTAATGATAGTCTGCTTCACGTGAGCATAACAGGCAATTTTCAAAAGTAAATTGTGAGATGGTCCACAGGAATATGTTGAAATCATCAAAACTTGACTCGGTGCTTTGGTCCCAAACACGTCTTGATATTTTATTGAGACCAGACTAACATGCTCATCATCTTCAGTAGACAGCTTCTCGCCTTCCTATTATTATGTCTCTCGCCAACTCGTGGGTAGAAATGGGATAACATCAAATCATAGGCAAGGCGAGCTTGTATCATCCACTGTTAGAACGCAGTGATGTCACCAGACAATCTTGCACTCTTTTGTCCGAGAGAGCTGCAGCTTTAATCCACTAAAGTTTTCGAAGACTAGTGCACAATCCCTGTGGCCAGATTATTCCACTCATCTGAACGATCTGCAGTGAAACCGCCCCGACTATCCTTACTCCCTGCTATCCCCCGGCTATAGTATTTTTGTCTGGTGCCGCGGACAGGTGCTTCGTATAGACTGCCATCGATCCGCTCTGTGTGAGGCGATCGTCTCTCGTATTATAAAGTATCCGCTCGTCTGGTTCTAGGGTCTACGTGCATGAGCCACTACCTCTCCCCATTGACGTATCGGAGATGACCACGGGGCGGGCAGCGGATTCGATTTCCGGGGAAACATGGCGAAATTTCCCCTGAAACTCTTTTTTGGTATATCCTCTTAAAATATCGCCGGGGATTTTCATCAACAGTCTAACTGCTCGGAGGGTTCGGGATATTTTTTTGTTTTAAATCGACTACCACAAAATGGCATCAGAATCTAATGACCAAAATCGTCACTTTACAAAATTGAAAAAAGGTAACCCGTCGCCCCAGTAGCAATGACCCCGAATGCTGGAAACATGGGCGTCAATCGGTGGGGGACGCCCCCCCCCCCCCCACACTTTTTAAAGTGTGTGTGTGTGTGGGGCGGGGGGGTGGTGATATCATATCGTTTGTCCCCCCCCCCCACTTTTTTCGTCCCCGAATCAAAATTGTAGCGCACTATAATGAGTCCATAGCTCAGAATAGCTGATTCAATTACTATAAAGTAGTCGAAATGGCTATAATGTAGTCGAAAACGATGTTTAAAAGATGATCTTTTGCTATAAAAAAAATGGTTTTAATAGTCAAAAATTGCCTCAGATCGCACCACAGAGCATCTACAATCCAAAATGTTTCGGGCCCTGAAACGCGGGCCCCGAACGCCACGCCGTTATGGTTTTGCGCTATTAGTGCTCATCAAGTTATGTCCCCCCCCCTACTTTTGAGAAGCGATTCACGCCCTTGGCTGAAATACATGTAAATAAACAGCAAAAGCTTTGAGAATTCCAAAGGCATTGGAATGAAATATTGTAGATATGATGACCCAAATAATGTTTTGACAGTAACTTTGTGACAGTAACTTTGTGACAGCCAAAGACAGCCACTGATACCATTCCATAGGGCCCTAAGTGAATTTAAAATATGATTATATATATATCAGTTTCTGGAATTCATCTACGTTATCAATACGCATGGGTATGCAGGGTGGTCCAAAAACACAAGTTTACACACTTTCAGAGGCAGATTTTTCAAAATAGAAGAGACATGTTGAAATTGTTTGTCAGATATTCCTAAACTGCCAAATGTTGGTCGTATATGGTGAGAACGGCGTCGCAAATAAAACTCGAGTTAGGAAATAGCGGCCGTTTACAGAAAATAGTCAAAAACTAATTTGTCCGCTTCTATGGCAGTCATGTAGACGTATAATTAAAATTATCGCAGTTCTTTAAGAGCGCGGTGTTATTGTGTTGACCTGACTTGACCATGGCAAAGACTTGCACGTGGACAAAGGTGTTTCACCACTTTTCTTAAACCATCGCCATTTATTTATTGAGGCTTTAATTTCAGCACCGTTTTCACCATGCACATACCACGAAGTTGCTGCAAGGGCGGATCCAGAACACTTTTGGGGGCCCAAAAAAATGTGGTCCCCCAAATAGTGGGTCCAAAACTGACGTCGTGGTGTTCGGCTCCCGCTTATAAATATGGGCCCCGACAATTTCTTGAATTGTATAAGCACTGTGGTGCGATCTGAGGCAATTTCTCACCACTTTAACCAATTTGTTAAGGAAAACATGGTGGTGTATGCAGTGCCTGCCTTTATTGCGACGTCACTTTAACTTAAAAAGAGGGGTTCGCTATTTCTTGGTGGGGGGTCATTGCCCCCGTTGCCCGTTCTGACCACTTTATCCAAAAGATCACTACTTTAAACATCATTTTCGAGTAATTTGGTAGTAATTGAATACGTTATTCTGAGCTATAGAATCGAATGTAGGCCACACTTGTTTATTCGGGAACGAAAATAGTTGAGAAAAACGACATGTCCCCCCGTTCCCCATCGATCGACATCCATGGTTGGCACCGTGCTTCAAAATGACAGACTTTACACTTAATTGTATACGTAGGGGCTGCACGTAAGCCTACATGCTGTACAGCGTCAGTTGTTCAAATGTGTGCTAGCGTGCTTGTGGGTTCAGGGTAGGCCAATCACGGTCAGCAATTTAACCAATAGGCTATTTTACCAGCTACAGTTATGTTCGAGTTGAAAACCTATTAACTATTCATTTTTTTCTCAAGATCGTGGCGTTAAATTGGTTTCAGTTGTTCACGGGTAATTTCGATCAGAACTGAATGCAAAGCATATTAAACGGCGTGGGGTTCGGGGCCCTCTTAAGGGCCCCAGGTAGGGGGGGGGCTGGATTCTAGATGCTCTGTGGTGCGATTTGAGACAATTTCTGACCAACTTAACCAATTTTGTTTTTAGCAAAAGATCACCATTTTCAAAAATCATTTTCGAGTTTGGAGCCATTGAATCAGCTATTCTAAGCTATAGAATCAAAAGTCATGTAGGCTACTATATTTTATTCGAATATGCTTGGGGAACGACATGTGTGGTCCCGGCATAATGGAAAGTTTGATACATTTGCGAACCCCCCTCTCCCCCGCCCACCATTTTTTTCAAAATTATTATTATAAGGTCACTTGAAAGGTAGCTTCTTTGTCATTCTGTTCCACATCATACACCCGCCTGGCTTCGGCATATGGTCCTGAAGATAATGCACTATACTTATTCCAAAGCATAACTTTATTTTCATTTTCGTTTTTTTTTATTTACATATCACAATAAGAATATAATTACATTTTACATTTTACATATTTTCACAAACACTTTTTAAATAATTATTTTGTTTGATAGTTCTACACACCTGAAACGATGTTCTTTTTCATTTTGATTACGCACGTGAACATCGTGCACGTTCATAGGGCTTACACAATTAGTTAACAATGAGTTGAAAACCATTGATCGGATAATACGAAATTCGGATATAGGGTCCCGCGGATTTCGTACTAACGGGAGTCGACTGTATACTCCCAATGCTGTGCTATTTCCACATTGCCCACTGTCGTCTTTTCAAGATGGCTTTTCCCTTCCCGCCCAGATTGTACCTGATTTCTTTCCAGATTCCGTGCAGAGAGACAGCTACGTGCGCAACGGCATATTACGCTGCCGCGCCAGCCCGGGGCGAAATCAATATCGTTTTGGGCCGCGTGCGTGACCGAATGAAACGATCTCACAAGCGAGAATAATGTGTGTCTATGACTCACTGGGGCTCGAACAGAAGACAATAAAGTTAGTTTGATATTGGACATTGGACATTCACATTCGCTTGTACAGGCCATGGCTTTGCATGATGCCCCCGTATGTCCATAGTTAACTTAGATTGGATATTGGACATTACAATTAGTTTGCATAGCGAATGTCAATAGTTTTAAAAACGTAAGGCGTAATTGTGATGCGCCCGCTGCCGTGAATCGCACCGACGGTTCCCACGAGACGCCCTTACAATTTTGTCTGGTGTTATACGTACATTGGAAATGCCCATAGCTTTGCACGGCGAATGTCCATGTTTTACATGGATATTGGACTTTGGAAATGCACTTAGGTTTGTATAGCGAATGTCCATATTTTTACGGTCTTAAAATGATGGACTATCAAGTGCCTTCTGATTAAAAAAACATATGTTTACGAACTTGTATAATTTACTAGTGAGAAAACGTTGAAGGTGGTTTTAAAAAACTGAATAATTGCTAGAATTTGTTCAAATTCTTTCAAGTTTTGCACTGATATTTTGTGTGTTTTTTTTCTTCAAAGTTAAACAAATAAACGAACTAGAACTAGGTTTGAACCTGCGACCCCCAGATTATTGTTCTAGTGCTCAATCTACAGAGCTATC